CTTCTTCACTAGAACAATAGAGTCCATTGACAGTCTTGCTGTGAGGTCGTGTGTGCCCCATGCCTGCCGTGTGATGGGTGCAAGATTCGTGTTGGCTCCTTCCAATCCCTCTAGTGATGGTTCACGGCTATGAAGCCCTCTCTTCTGCTATATATCTTCTTCCTAAACTATGCATTCTTGACCTGCCCATTAATAATAATCTTTTCATTCTCCAATTGGAGATATCTTAAAATGTAAACAGTCAGCTGAGCTGAGTTAGTAACTTAAATTGACATGAAAAATGCAGATTTGATCTGGGAAAGAGATCCCAGTTTTCATTGGCTAATGGAAGAGAGAGCAAGAAGAGAAAACTGTTGCCTGGGACAGGAAGATGTTGCCCACATCAGTTTTGCCTGGTGCTGCCCTGCAAAGTAGAGAGAGGCAAAAAGTCTCAAGGACATGAGCAAAAGAATCAGCATGAAAACAGGCAAAAAGAAAAGAATGCTTTTTTTTTTTGCTAGTAATTGTCATCATTAGAAAACCTTTTTCCTTTTATCTCCATATCTGTACTCCAGGTCTGGGGTTACCTTGGAGGAAGCTGTCAAGGTTCATGATCTGGTTCTTAGCCCTTCTGGAAACTTGGCTTTGGTCAGTCAACTAGAGTCAAATTAGATCCAGAGTAACTGATTTATACTAAAAAGTATAAAGGGCATGTAAAGTAAGGATTCTGAATTAATTTTTTATACTTGAAAATGTCAATTTCTAATGAGCAAAATACAGTTGACCTTAAACAGTGCAGGGTTGGGTTATGGATGTCAGCCTCCCCCGTACAGTCAAAAATCTGGCGTAACTTTTGACTCCCCCATAACTTAACATTGTAATAGCCTACTGTTGACCAGAAACCTTACCAATAACATAAACAGTTGATTAACACATATTTTATATATTATATGTATTATATATTGTATTCTTACCATAAAGTAAGGTAGAGAAAAAAAAATGTTATTAAGAAAATCCCAAAGAAGAGAAAATGTATTTACTATTCATTAAGTGGAAGTAGATTATCATAAAGGTCTTCATCCTCATCATCTTCAGTTGAGTAGGGTGAAGAGGAAGGGTTGGTCTTGCTGTCTGAATGGTGGCCAGGGTGAAAGAGATGGGGAGGTGGAGAGGCAGGAACATTTCAGGGCATGGGAATTTACTCAGGTTTACAGGTCTAGGAATGCCACCTCAACATAAGAAAACCAATCTAGGCCGGGCGCGGTGGCTCACGCCTGTAATCCTAGCACTCTGGGAGGCCAAGGCAGGTGGATTGTTTGAGCTCAGGAGTTCGAGACCAGCCTGAGCAAGAG